TTTTTTTTTTTTTTTTGCATTTCTTTAAACGAAAGTTTAAAACTCTCCAATTTCCTATTTCTTTCCCTCCGAAATTCGAAAATCCACTGTTCGAATGATAAGAATTACGTGTCACAGAGATGCTTGAGTGGAGCAAAAAGGAAATTGGGAATTGCTGATTTATAATTTCTATTAATTGGCACTACGGTTCTACGTGTATAATTCTTCTCGTCAATATTTCAATAATAATCTACGGATCAAAATTCGAGATATTGTACACTACATATTGCTTCTAGAAACTACGCTTTTCTTTCTTCCCCGCCAAAAAAAAAACAGTTAAACCTTTAACTCTTCAAACTTGCTATATTTTCTATTTTCTAAAATTCCCAACACATTGCCGGCCGCTGTCACGTGCGCGCGACTTTTTTTCGACCAGCGGTTATCGGCCGGTCACGTCACGAAAATGGTGACTTTGCACCACTATTTTCGCAAGACGTATAAAAAAACGATTTCACGCCTCGAATTCTAACACGTACTTCTGAAAGCTATTCCGTTGCTCGCAAGACACTGCTTACTTCGTTTCCGTCTTGGCAATTGTTATTTGTCGGAAAGAAAAAGATTAACGTTAATCTCTCGAGTGGCAGAAATGAACTGAGAATTAAATTGCCAGAAATCTCTAAATTGTCTGCACGTTAGGTATGTGTGACAGGTGTAAAAATGTAAAAATCTCAAGCTAACTACTACCAACGAATATAGTGTAATTATCTTACGAACGATTGCGCGAAAATATCGCCGAAAGGCGGTGAGAAAAGTGTGTTAAGCGATAACGTAAAGGTAGGATCGAGGATCAAAGCAAAACGTGTAATTCAACGCATGTGACAGTGGGGAAAGAAAAAGCAAGCGTGTTACGTGAAAAAGAAGCGTAATGAGTAAAACAGAGCTCCTGTGCAGAATCTTACTGCACTCAGCCTCGTCGGAACCGTCGGAACAGTCTCGATGGCCGTCGCACATCCACGCGAGTGCCACGCATTCGCCATTCCCCGAGTGACACGTGAACTGATCCGCCGTGCAATTCTTCATCCCTACAAGATGGACAATCGATTGGACCCCGGTTTTCATTCGTGACAAGGTGCCAGCCGCACCCGCCATTCCCCAGTGCACAATGCCATTCGGCGAGTCGACACTATTTCCGTGTCGATCGAGAGCAGCGAGAGCTGTCTCGAGAATTGCATCCTCAGGGTCAATTGCATTTCGCGAAAAAAGAAAAAAACAAAAAATGTCACAACACGCAGCAACACGC